AATTCAGATCCATAAATGATCCATCCATCCATCTGAAAGACAAGAGATCAAAGTAGAATTCAGATCCATAAATGATCCATCCATCCATCTGAAAGACAAGAGATCAAAGTAGAATTCAGATCCATAAATGATCCATCCATCCATCTGAAAGACAAGAGATCAAAGTAGAATTCAGATCCATAAACGATCCATCCATCCATCTGAAAAACAAGAGATCAAAGTAGAATTCAGATCCATAAAAGATTCATCCATCCATCTGAAAAACAAGAGATCAAAGTAAAATTCAGATCCATAAAAGATTCAACCATCCATCTGAAAAACAAGAGATCAAAGTAGTATTCAGATCCATAAAAGATTCATCCATCCATCTGAAAAACAAGAGATCAAAGTAGAATTCAGATCCATAAAAGATTCAACCATCCATCTGAAAAACAAGAGATCAAAGTAGAATTCAGATCCATAAAAGATTCATCCATCCATCTGAAAGACAAGAGATCAAAGTAGAATTCAGATCCATAAAAGATTCATCCATCCATCTGAAAGACAAGAGATCAAAGTAGAATTCAGATCCATAAAAGATTCAACCATCCATCTGAAAGACAAGAGATCAAAGTAGAATTCAGATCCATAAACGATCCATCCATCCATCTGAAAGACAAGAGATCAAAGTAGAATTCAGATCCATAAAAGATTCATCCATCCATCTGAAAAACAAGAGATCAAAGTAGAATTCAGATCCGTAAATGATTCATCCATCCATCTGAAAAACAAGAGATCAAAGTAGAATTAAGATCTATAAATGATTCATCCATCCATCTGAAAAACAAGAGATCAAAGTAGAATTCAGATCCATAAAAGATTCATCCATCCGAAAGACAAGAGATCAAAGTAGAATTCAGATCCATAAAAGATGCATCCATCCATCTGAAAAACAAGAGATCAAAGTAGAATTCAGATCCATAAAAGATTCATCCATCCATCTGAAAAACAAGAGATCAAAGTAGAATTCAGATCCATAAAAGATTCATCCATCCATCTGAAAAACAAGAGATCAAAGTAGAATTCAGATCCATAAAAGATTCATCCATCCATCTGAAAAACAAGAGATCAAAGTAGTATTCAGATCCATAAAAGATTCATCCATCCATCTGAAAAACAAGAGATCAAAGTAGTATTCAGATCCATAAAAGATGCATCCATCCATCTGAAAAACAAGAGATCAAAGTAGTATTCAGATCCATAAAAGATTCATCCATCCATCTGAAAAACAAGAGATCAAAGTAGAATTCAGATCCATAAAAGATGCATCCATCCATCTGAATAACAAGAGATCAAAGTAGAATTCAGATCTATAAATGATTCATCCATCCATCTGAAAAACAAGAGATCAAAGTAGAATTCAGATCTACAAATGATTCATCCATCCATCTGAAATATTTCAGATTTGAATTTTCAGTTATTTTTAGTACATAAATGATCTGTTTTCATTCTTATTTTGAATATTTGATTTTGGAGTGGATGGAATATTGTTAGAAAATATTGGGGAAATGGAAGCCCAAACTACTAGTTCAGAGAATACATCTTACTTGTTGAGACACTTCTTCAAAAAGTAAATAAAGGTTAAATAATACAATAGAAATACTTACTTTTTCTCTGCTTTCTGCCATTTTAAGACCACATTGAACAATCTGTTGAAGGGATCAAGTGAGGTGGAGATTTCATCAACATCAGGATAGGTTGTTACAGGATATTTAAATAATGCCTCTTCCTACAAACAAATCATCATTTCAAAATCAGATTTTCTATCAAATTCAGTTCAAATTGACTTTCCACCAGACTTGATGGGCCTTAAATTGATCAGAAATCACCATAATCCAGTACATCAACTCTTGTGGCCAGATTTTTTATACCAACTGATATTTTCAGAAGCTATGGTTATCATGGAAAACTAAAAAATGGCAACTTTTAAGAAATAAAAAATTAGTATAGTAGAAAAATTTACCTTGTTTATCCAGGCAATGTGTTCACTTAATTCTAGTAATTTTTTCTGTACAATACGAACGTCTGAGACGTACTGCTGCATGTGATCCAGTTCACCACAGTCGTTAAATTCTATCACACGCTGTCTTAGTTTCTCCAGCTCCAACATCACTTTCTCTCGTTTCTCTAACAGAGCCTTCTCACTCTTCTGTTTAGACTGGTCTACCAACTACAATACATCAAATATAATACAGTTTATCATCTTAGGATTGTTATATAATAAGGCTGTAAGATAGTTAAAGATCTTGATTTCAAATTTAATTTGAGTAGTTTTGAGTCTAACTTTGCTGTTCCTTTCATGCTAGAGATAGGAAGTTTTACATCCTGGACATTAGAGAAATAACGTAAGTACGGCAGTATGCTTTCAATGATGATATATAGCTTTTATTCCTACTTTTTCTTCATCTTATTTTAGAAAGGAGTTTAACATTCTACTGTTCTGTACCATATTGTACAAAATAAAATTAAACATTTATAAACTTTATAAATTCAATAAGACTTTTGTGGAGATGCCAGAACAGTCAAATGGAAATAGAAGCCATAAATAGGCTAAAAATCCTCTTTTGAATCCATGAAAATAAAACAGTATACTTACATCATCATTCTGATCAAAGACTGGATTGATACGACTCGGCCATGTTAAAACTTCACAGTTTAACTCAATATCTTCTTGCTCGAACATAAATACATCGATAAGATAGGCCAAACGATCCTTCGATTCCTAGAGAATTAAACAGGGGAGATAATATTAATATAAACACATCAATAAGATAGGCCAAACGATCCTTAGATTCCTAGAGAATTAAACAGGGGAGGTAATATTAATATAAACACATCAATAAGATAGGCCAAATGATCCTTAGATCTTAGAGTTCATAAGGTTAAATTTCATCGTCATAAATTAAATGCAATTTCTCTCTAAAAGATTTGACTGGACCACATACCTTAATCCTTTCATTGAGTTTAATCATTCCCAGAGTTCTAGCTTGTCCCACGAACGTTAACATCTCCATCAGCTCTTCACTGGTTTCTGGTTCTTTCAGGGCTCTCTCCATCAGTTCCTTGAATTCTTTACATATACTGAAATGAAGAGAATTGAAATGAAATTGAGGCATTAATTTAGAGGGATATTTTGCCAGGATAGTGGTACCTTTCTGCTAAGAAATCATGGATCTTTAATGTGAACAGCCATGTTCTTGTCCAATCAGAAGAAATCGGCTCTCACCCCCTAATACTAATAATAAAATCTCTTATTTTATTTTCAAATCATCAACAGACTGGATATTAACGCCTACCTTTCATTTTCACTTCTATGATCAGCTGAAACTCGACTCAACAATTCGTCTGCTAGACCTCGGGCAGCTTTGGCCAGACCAATCTTCAAATCTTCACAATTCAATCTAATCATATCAAAATGTTCAATACTCGGTAGACCCATTATTTCTGTTGCTAGGTTACGGAATCTTTCAATATACTGGAAAAATAAAATAGAAATATCAAACACTACTTGCATAAAACTTTGAAAAAATTTGTCACTGCAATACAACAACCAATAACAGTTCTTAATTCTGGTACTTCATGCTTGTTACCATGTATGTAACATCTTAATATTGATAACCAATCCTTGTTTATTTCTGATAATCAGCCCCAAGTCAGGAAACCTTTCTGTTGGCCAACCCATAGGTTCCAAGTGTTAAACTTGACGTAAGTTTACCTCTGTATATTCATCAAAAGAATGCTCCTGTTCCATGTAGGCATGGATTTCTTTTAAAGCTTCACCATTTATAATATAGTCATATCTATCAACTGTAATAAACAAACATTGTTTAATATTATCAAATTCCAGAATCAAAGTTTAAAAAGTGTTGCACATAGCTAAATTTAACACCTTTTTGTCTAGTTAAGCAACATCTTACACTCCAATATCTCTGAAAAGATCAAAATATAGGTGAAATAGAACTCAATCAGCTGGTAACACAAACATTAACACAAACATATTCCTTTTAAAAAAAATGAAAATGAATGGAGTTTTACATCCAACTTTTCTGTACCTTGTGGGCTAATGAAGACGTGCGACGCCCGGTTTATTGTCCCATCCGAACGACTATCCGAGGGTTTTATCTCGAATGATGTAGTCCTTATGATCTGCATCACTGACAGGGAATCAGAAGGAATCATTTCAACTGATGTTTGGATCCATCACAAGAGATCATTAAATTTGCTTACCAAATGATTGTAAATGCTGTAAAGGCGCCTCAAAATAATAGGCAACTCTCTCTTTAATCCTGACAATGGCTGAGTCTAGAATATGTTTAGCTACTGATACATCGGTATGGCTGACGCTACTACCTCCTGATAACCATGATGATATAGTAGGAACCGACTGCATGGTCTTAGTAATACGATTGACCACGTATAATATTGTCTCTTCCAGTTCCTCCGATGGTGGATAAAACTGCATCTTGTTCTCATCAAACGTGAGCTCCATTTTTAAAATAGGAAGTTTTAATCGATTGTCTTCTTCAAATAAATCAACAAATGTATCAATAGTTCTAACTAATAATTCTTTTAACTGAAAAAAAGACAAACAAAATTACTAGATATGTGAAGTCTTGGATTTTAAATGAAATAAAATGGAATTCGACATCCTGCTTTTCTACTGTTTAAGCTAATGAAGACTGGCAATGTCATACAGTTACAGTGGTGTTTTAGATTGCTGAACTTGTCAATCCTTGCTCTAACAGTCACTATTGGAGTGAACTTCAAGTTATCAAACAGTAGAGTCAAGCTAAAGATATCTGCACACATCTAGGTAACGATAACATCTAGGTAATGATAAACAGTCTGTCTTGTTTCACTGTAATATTTAATAGTTTAAAATCTAGAGGTACCTGATTAGAGACTAGGGTAGCTATACTACTGTAGAATGATTCTAGTTTATCTCCAGTTACATTACGGAAATTATCACGATTAGCAAATATATTGATAATCTTTGGATACCAGCTGCAAATAAATACAAGTTATTTTTACATGCTTATATTCACTCACTACTAATCATTGACACACCAACAGTTTAAAATCATGCTAGTAAATACAATATAACTGCTGAAGTAAGCGTAATGGCTTAAGAGCCAGCAGAAATCTGCCCAGCATCTGGGTAGCAGAGACAATAGTTCAAAGATAGTATAACACTATATATCATAACTGTAGAATTCTATATAGATAGTATAACTGCTGAAGTATGCCTCACTGCCCGGACAGTGTCAGGGAAGCATGACAGTATCAACAAAAAATCGTGCAACTTTCCATTTGCAGAATATATAAATAATATAACTATAAGTACCTATTGAGTAATTTTTCCTCTGATCTTTCTAAATCTAACGTAACATCATTCTTTAATCTCTCAAAATCAATAGCACCATTAACTCTGATAGTATTTTAATATTCAAATAAACATAATGTTAGCGCTAAGTCATGTCATATCATTCAGTAAATAAATGAAGGGGAAAAAAACACATTACTAAACATGGTAAAATCAAAACAAATATATTCCTGCGACTGTCTTATTCTGCTCTGGGGGTTAAGCAATAGATAAATCTATATTATTAGGACACGTTAGGTTCTTTTATTAGCTTTTGTACACAATAGACCATTCTATTCACATGGAGGCTGTCATTACACCGCTCACTAGGTCATGTGACTTCCTAACTAGAATTTATCATAGGAATACTAAAAGTTGAGACGTCTGGTGAAATAAAGTGTCTTCTTGTCTTACCTATATTGTGAACAATCTACGAGAACCATACTGCCGGGTGTATTTTGACACATTCTTAACACTTCCTGCATAGTGGGGTGGAGTAGATATAAGTTATTACGAATTATCTCCCTTGATGTAAGGAATGAATGATGCCATGGTCTTGAATAATCTAAACCACTGAAATAGAAAGTAAAACAGTATAAAACAAAGGGAGATAAATTTCAAAAAAGGAGACAGTTGAGACATATCTCTTTACTCTAAAGGTAGACAAAATCAGACCTGAACTAAAAGAACAGATTACTTTCAGTCTACAGTATTTTGTGTATGCATCCCTTATTTTAACAGATGGCTTAGGTTTCTTATTATGAAAATAACATAGGTCCCAAAATATATTGCCCATGCTATATGAAATCAAACTTAGCTTTAACAGCCAGTAGCCAATTTTTATTCTTGTTCTCATGACTCTTTCACATTGACAATGGGATATAAGGTTTTCCAAAATCTTTAACAGGGTCCAGTTTACAAATTATAAACAGTACTTACGTAGGTTCTTGTGGTGGTGGACCAGCTACATCATTCTCTAAACCTTTTACTTCAGGTTTTACTAACACATGTTGTACTGAAATATAATTGTAATACAGTATTATACACATTTCCACCTGTTCAGTTACAACAATGGCAAAACCATGCAGTGTGCAATAAGAAAATTTTGCAAGGAAAGTGGCATTAGCCTCCTCTTTTTGATTTTTACCTGTTGAGTTAAACAGAGCGGGCAACACCATATAGTGTGCAATTTAAATTAAGTTTTATTATCATTTACCTGATTGGGTTTATGAAAATGCAATTAAGGAAATTTTGCCAGGACTGCAGCATTAGCCTACTCTTTTCTGATTTCAAAATGTCAATAGATCTTAAATATGAACAGCCTGTAGCACACAGGGCCTTGGTTTATAGTCTCAACCAAACATCTAGCCGTTGTTAAAGTAAGCAATCTTACCCATGGATTTTTTCATACTAGTCAAATAATCCTGTCTAATTTCAGAAAACAGATCTTGAAGATGTTCCTTCAGATATTTTCCCTTCATTAAATGATCTGGTATCATTCTGGTGATATGTCTATCCCATTCTTTCTGCATTGGTGTGACAGGTCCACTCTCTACACACTGTTTTAAATATCGATAGTTTAACTGGAAATAAGAGAAAATTCTTTGTATCATATATTTAGTTGGGAAATAGAAGCAGTGAAAAATTATCCGTCATTAATGAATTAATTGGTATCTCCAAACTATTTTTGAAATACATTTGATTTTAATAAGTACTAGCTGTGGATTACATGATCTTGGTTCTGGAATATTTGAGCAAACTGTGCATTTTTTAATCTTTACACACAGGATTGTGATATTTGTCAGATTTCCTCTCGAGGCCAAAGAAGTAGGAATGGGTTCCTTGGTTATTCTAAAAAGTTTCTGACAACACCATGGCCATTATGAATTTTGAACATTTACAACAGACTGATTAAAACTAAATACTATTCATCCTAGAACAATCTAGCCACGTGCAATGTCAATATACTAAATTATTCAGCGACTTTAAGATAAACTAGTTTACTAATTAAACCTTAAATAATTTATACTCTTAGACAGTTTCAATATATATATTCTACTTAGTTCTTAAAATCTTCATCTTTCACTTCATCTAATACTTTCTTCATTAGGCTCTTCTTGTATTATTGAAGTTTGTAAATGCAGTGATTTGATAAGAGCCCTCGACATGAAGGTTGTTAACATCATGATTTAAGGTTTACAGATTTTCTGATTGGGCCATATTCAAGCAAATCACTGCATTTAAAAACTTATTTAATACATGAAAAGGGTCTAATGAATTCAAGGTGATAGACGTGTGAAGTTAGTCTGATATTTTGACCCATGTTAGGTCACCAGAGGAAAGCACGGTCCAGCTCCCCATTTCTCAAAATATCACACGATGAAAAACGTCATAACTATGTAGTTATACATGAGAATTAGCACACTTATGACAAAAATTGATTGTCAGAACGAGAGAAACAGGGGCCTGGTACTAGAAATCTACTACTATAACAGAGATTAGTACATAGAGAGCTAGAGAGAGATAGTTAGTAGGCTATTTTCACCAAAGGTTATAAAAGTACTGGCCCAGGCACTAAAGACGTATAACTACAGCTAAGATAGTGATTAGTAAGCTTATATAATTATAAGGGAGAGTTAGTCATCAGAGCTTAATCTGGAACTTCCAACTTTAAAGTCCTGAAAGCAGTGGCCTAGGTATAAGAAACATATTTCAACCATTTAAGCGCTGGCCAAGGTACTAATAATGTACTACTAAACACATTGTGGTCTGAAAGCATAAAAGCACTGGCCCAGGAAGTAGAAATGAACTACATAGCTAAGAAACAGTGATTAGTATACGAAAGACAATTACTCCAGAGAGGATAGTCTGCTATTTTGACCACTAAAGCACTGCCCAAGGCACTATTAATAAGTGATATACATATCGTAACATGGGGCAATGGGATAAAAATTAACATTTTATCTCCAAATTTTCTATATATATTCATTTATAACTTTATAACTGTGATATTTGGTAATATAGTTGATAGAAGTGGTCACTGTCTTATAAATAGTTTCTATATATATTAATTTATAACTTTATAACTGTGATATTTGGTAATATAGTTGATAGAAGTGGTTAGTGTCTACTGTCTTATAAATAGTTTCTATATATATTAATTTATAACTTTATAACTGTGATATTTGGTAATATAGTTGATAGAAGTGGTTAGTGGTCACTGTCTTATAAATAGTTTCTATATATATTACTTTATATCTTTATAACTGTGATATTTGGTAATATAGTTGATAGAAGTGGTCACTGTCTTATAAATAGTTTCTATATATATTAATTTATAACTTTATAACTGTGATATTTGGTAATATAGTTGATAGAAGTGGTTAGTGTCTACTGTTTTATAAAAAGTTTCTAACTATTTCAGTGAAAAAAATTGTGATATCATAAACCAACTTATAACAATCCCCACTTTTTATGGAATAAAAGATATAGCCAAGTATCAATGCATGTGTATCGCAGCATGTCGTATCACAATACATTGGTTCACCGATATATCGTACCAGCACTGCTTTTAATGTACTACATAGCTAAGGTATAGCGATTAGTAAAATTATATAAGAGAGAGTTAGTCTGCTATTTCCACCTTTAAAGTCCTGAAACCACTGGCCCAGGCATTAGAAACATACTACTATAGCTAAAATATAGTGATTAGTATAGGAAAGACAGTTAGTCGCGAGAAGTTATTAGATCTTCTATGGCTATTGTGACCTAAGGTCATGAAAGCACTGGTACTGGCATTAAAGCGTACTACTACAACTAAGATATTCCAGTGATTAGTAAAGGAGTCGAGTCTGGAGATGTTAGTCGGCCCTTGATAGCACTATAAATAGACTACGAAGCTGAAATTCAGTGATTAGTATACAAGAGAGAGAGTTAGTTTTCAGAGGTTAGTCCGCAATTTATTTAACCTTTGATCTTGACTTACCCTTGTGGATCTGTCATTACTCATCATCTATAGAAATAATAAGATATAAAATAATAAAATAAGACTGTTTATGGTTATCTTAATCCTTATGAAAGGGGTTTAAGAAAAGTTTCCCACTGTATAACCATCTCAAAATGATAAGTTGGTATTTTAATTGACTGATGAAGACAAGCGATTAGGGGTACAATGCCAGACTCTTCTTGAGGAGTGGCACCAACTTGCCAGTTCATTGTCTGATATCCTGGAATCTAACTGTTTTGATAAAAGGCATTGTTTTTCTTTTATCTCTTCAGACACTGCCAAGAAATTTCACATTAACACAAATATTGATCAAATTTAGAAACAAACAAATTTTATAAGTTAATCAGAAAAGAAGTTAGAAGACATCTTTTAATATTAATAATTTAGTCACTCTTAAAAAGTGTTTTCTTACTTCTTTTATTATACCACAACATAGAGTGATACACCATTACTTTCAAACTTAATCTCAAACTCTTAGTAACAAACAAACTTCAAACTTGTGTATTATATTTTTATATTAATATTGATAATAAAAACTGGTTAATCAAACAGGGTTGTTATTGTTTACAAACTGGTTAATAGGTGGATATCAACATCATTAATATTAGTGAAAATTTCAGTCATGCTGTCTGTTTGAAAGTCCTTAATAATAAAATATACCAAATAAACAACATCAGCTGGCTATGTGGAATCTCTAACAGGATGTTCAGTTGACAAACTTCAGCACAGAGTGACATAAGTTGTCTTGTCGAGTGAACATGTCCTAGCTATACATTTCATAGAGGAGTTCAGGTTCAATATAAAGTTTTTGGACTAGGGCAGTTGTGTTATTATCTGCTATACAAGATGAGAAATGAAATGAACAGAGTTTTACGTCCTTTTCTACATACAGATGAGAGATAACTTAATCTCAATGACCAATTTTGTCACTTGTAAGCTTATACACCCTAAAAGTGACCAAAACTAGAATTGCCACAAGTTTAATTTCCACTTGCATGATATCGGGATGTCGGTTGCAAATTCTGAAGAGTGCTACAGAAAGCTGAAATTGAGCTCATCGTCTGGTGAAGTAAATATTTAGACCACTGTCTTTGATGCATTCCATAACTGTTGAACAGTGTTTGTTATAATGGTTTTTATTATGAGGGTAAAAACAAAATTAGTATATCAGTAAGCATCAAACAACTCAACAACATTCACTGATCTTAAACTAAATAATATACTCTACCATGTTATTGAATGGGTTCTATTTTAAAAAATATAAAAAATTACAAAATAAAAAAATCAGAACTGGGTATTCTGTTTTATAATTTTTGATTGTTGGTTGTGATTTCCAATATTATAAACTTACATAGGGTATGAAATGAAAATCAAAATAGAAATAGTATTCTCTTTTCTAAAATAAGTTTAAAAAATGATAATGGTACAAAATGAAATTCAGAAATAACTCAATTCACAAATATAAAATAACATCAAATAAATTTTATTATATAAGCTTAAAAAATAAAATACAATCTCTCACCTCCACAGGATATTTAGGACTAGCAGGTCTATCTAGAACTTTTCCTGGTTTACCTTTATCTTTAGTATCCATCATAGCTTTTAAAGCATTGTCTTGTCTACAACATAGTTAAATTAGAGAGACATTTTTGGGGTTGATTTGAGTCTTGAATATATGTAAATAGTCTTCAGAAATACTAGAAATGTATGAAAATAGAATTTATATTCATGTTTCTATAGATGTTATTCTTTATATATATGGCAGTGTCTCAAAAAAAGATGAGTCATATTTTAAACGTTCAAACACATTTAATGGATTTTGGTGATTTTAGAACCATAAAAATCAGAATGGTAGAAATTGAAGCTTTAAGTTTATTGAGCTTAATTTCATGATTAATTCAAAATTCCAATTTTGATAAAAACTTACAAAATCTGCATTAATAATTCTTGTTTATGATTGGCTAATCTAAACGTCATCAATTTACTATTAGCATACGGATCTTCTTTTGATGTGATAGGTTTTTTAATTGGTGGAAGTCTGGGGTAGCCATCAGGCCCGATACCTCCAATCTTTGTTCTGTCAGGTAACAAGGCTTTATCAGTTGTTCCCCCTGATTCCCGCGACGGGGGATAATTCTTATTGACTGATGCCATCTGAAAATTGAAAAAAAAAAAAAACAATTAGTTTTAGGATCAAAAGATTTGTTGGTCCGTGATCCATTTTGAAGCACAATGAGTGAAAGTCCTTTTTGCATTTACATCATAAAAATCTGTAAAATTCTTTTCAATCTAGATCTAATCTCATTAGTTTCAACAGATCAAGGCTAAACCAGTTTGTGTGTGGACAGAGACATATCCAGAAAATACCTGAGTTCGGGGGAGATTTGTATGAGGCGAGGCCCAAACAAAGGGCTAAAGCCCCTAGAGGCTGGGGGATCGAGGGCTGCCAGAGGCCTGAGCTTAATTTTCACTTTTACAGGCCTGAGGGGAGGGCCCAATCCCTACTAAATGCATTAGTTACTACTATTATGTGTGGTATGCCAGTTTAAAAAGGCAGATCTATTTCACCAACCTACTCCCTTGGCTATATTTTACTGTTCTCACCTTGTTTGTAAACCTAGATCTGATGCATGCAGCCTATCACTAGATCTATATGGTATGGCAATTTGTAGTTAAAACTTTTTTTGAGTTTTTTTTTTTAAGATCTCCACAACAACGCATAAACAAATGAAATAACACAAAAAAGTAGAAGATCCTACTTTCAAAATTATCAATCTTACTTTTTTTCTTGGACTTTTTCTGTTCTAATGTCTTCAAATTAACATGGCGAATGAAAAATAAGAATATCAACAAAAACTCTTCTCCCTCTCGAGTTTGTTGTCATGTTTGGCGTCCATGACAGAAAATGGCCGATGTTTTCTATAAGCAAATTTGATTGGTTGTTTATTTTTATCTAGCCAATCACGAAATACGTTAAATCCGGCTAAGGCAGTCTTCCTTAGCAACTATTCTATAATCACAGTTGTTTTGTAATGGCTGTCTCAGGTGTTTGATAATCGAGTTTTCAAGGTTTTACGGCGTAAGTAAATGTGTTTGTAGGTAATTAATTTATTTAAAAATAACGAAATTTAAAACATGAAATAAGATATTTTCTCCGGATAGTGTTGATTTATAAGAATTAGATTTATAAGATGGTCAAATATCTCTTTTTAGTATTTTACTTAGATTTTCAGTGTCACTTCGTTCTGTCAGTTCTGGCACTTGCTAGTGCTAGGGTAATAATGGAATCAGTTGAACTCTGAGACATTAAACATTATTAGCTGATTAGGTCTTACTAAGCCTATGCATGCCCAGTTACCTACATTTGGGATTAAAACTATTCTAGCTCTGTAAAATCATCTAAGAATAGGGCTATTTCCCAATAGCCAAAAGGCCTAATACTTTTTTCACCGCCTGACATTACATTGTCATTGGTCTGTGTTCCTCAGTAGTAGGACTCTTTAAGAGTTGATATTGCAGTAGGGCTATACAAAATGATTGGCCAAACAGTAGTAGGTTTACAGCTATTGAGAAGTTAGGGTTAGCAGAGGTCTCAGTGAGATATGAGATCCATACTTATAGCAGATATTAATACGATTTAATGTTTTGTGTTTAGATTAAAACATCAAAACCATCATGGCTGACCAAGAGGTGAAACCTGTAGTTGAACCGGAAACTGCCCCACAGCATCCTGAAGGTGAAACAGCCCCACAACAATCTGAAGGTGAAACTGCCCCACAGCAGCCTGAAGGTGAAACAGCCCCACAACAATCTGAATGTGAAACTGCCCCACAGCAGCCTGAAGGTGAAACAGCCCCACAACAATCTGAAGGTGAAACTGCCCCACAGCAGCCTGAAGGTGAAACAGCCCCACAACAATCTGAAGGTGAAACTGCCCCACAGCAGCCTGGAGGGAATGAAGAGCAGCCAACAGAACAAACAGAAAAGCCACAGGAAAGTGAATCTGCACCAGAGAAGCCAGCAGAAGATGCAACCGTAGCAGGAGATAAACAGCCAGACCAACTTGAACAACCATCTGAAACAAAAGATGCAGAAAATGTAGAGACTGAAAATAAGGAAGCCGCTCCACAAGAGGGTGAAACTGAACAACCAAAACAGGACACAGAAGAGCCCAAGGAAGATGCTGAACAACCCGCAGAGACAAAAGAGCAATCTGAACAACCATCAGAGGTGGCAGAGCAGAAACAAGAAACAGAACTACCCAAAGTAGAAGAGTCAGAAGAAACACCTAAAGATAGTGTTGAACCTCCTGTGGAGATTGGAGATCAGGCAGCTCAACGAGAAACAGAGACTGAAGTTAAGCCAAGTGAAGAGAAAGAAGAATTGAAAGAGGTTGATGCGAAGAGTCCTGTTCCGCAGGCTGATGTAACTACAGAACCAAAATCTCCTGAACCCAATTCACCCAGACAGAAATCTCCTGAAGTTCAGGTCACTGAGAGTGGGAAAGTGGATCTTGATGCTACTGCAACAGGTAGGCTGTAGTATTTTTAATTTAACTCAGCAGTTTTAGATAAATATTTATGTAACAGCTGTGGTTAATTGACAGATGGCTGTCAGCACCGATGATTTTCAGGGACAAATTTTGCAGAATAACTCCTAACTTATCCCTAGACTAATACATTGTATAAGCTTATTATTTAATTGTTGATATTTTACAGTGAAGTTTGTATTGATGCCAAGCGGACAAGTAGTAACTCTAGCCTGTAGTCTAGGCCAGTCTCTTTCTCAGCTTAAAGACCATTTCTCTCAGGAGTTAAAGATGCCAGCAGCCAGTATTTTACTTATGTTTGATGGTAAGTAAACTTATAATAGATTCATTGAAACACTGAGAGTACCAGTCAGATTCAGATGATAATTTCATATTGCTTGAGGTTAGATCTAAATGTGTTCACTTTATATTTCTTTGTATAATGTAATGCGCTAATTTTCTTCAATGTGTAAGCATACAGATTGTTTTTTATATTCACTAACACAATCAGTAAAAGAAGGGCATGATACTTATTACATTCATTTTTAATTTAGAACATTCCCATTAATAATGTCTTCACACTGCACGGCATTGCCTGGTTTCATTAGTCCAATCATGAGCAGGAAAGATGAATTTAAAACTGATTTATCTCTATAGGTAAAACGTTACCTGATGAGACCATACTAGCTGATCTAGGTGTAGGACCTAATGGTACGGTACAGTTAGAAATGCAGTCAGCTGATCCTTTATCTACCCCTATTAAACCCTATAAACCTCGACAAGAATATCATATGCCTGATATCATTACAGTTAAAATAGAAGCAGGTAGGTGGCTTGTCAAATTTTCAGAAACATTGTAATAAATTTTAATAAATATAAAGTGGTGTCTGTATTTTGGCTTGGAGCGTGAAATACTTAAAACTGCATACCAATATGTAAAGGAATATGGCCCTTACCTTTTTTGAAAGATTTTTGAAAGATGATTATCAAAGTGTTAGGCTGCAAACAGCTACAAAAGATCTGTTTATTTAAAAGTTACCACTCTGCAACTGTGTCTGTCAACTAAACATTCCACATAACTTCAATGCTCATGTGACATATTTGATATATTTACAGAAGATGGCAGTGGTAGTCGAGATGTTATCGTAGAAATAGAACGTAGTATGAATAAAAAACCTTTCCTGGGTGGATATCGTCACAAAGTGTCAGGAGTGGAATTCTTAAACGCGTCTGCTCAAACTCGACCAAAAGTTCGTCCCCCGAATAATATCGAACGATTCTGTCGGGATACACAGACGGTACATCAGAAGAACAGACCTCAACAAACCACTAACGATATGTCTACTCAAATGACTGGTATCGGGGTGTATGTCGCTAATCTAGAAGATAAAATGATCATACCTGGCAAATATGTGACAGCTGATGAGTTCCATGCTAGAAGATGGAAAATGGTGAGATTGTTATATTATTTTGGTCAAAATGTGCTTTTGATTGTCATAATATCAGAGAACAGCTGCTGTGTTTCAGAGTGTTGCAAATTTATGATTTTGTCTTATCATGGCCTGTTGTATAAAAATAGATTTAGACTAACATTTCTTGAAATATGATTGGTGAATATCATTGCTGCTATTATATCAAGTTCTTAGTGTTGTTTGTTTATGGTTTACCATAATCTTATTAGATAGTTATGGTAGAAAGCCCTACTTGGCAAATATTATCATAGCCTTAACATCTACCAGCTAACATCTCACAGTTCTTATTGTATGTTGTATTGTAATGATATTTTGCATAGCAACCAACTCCTTGTTATCATCCATTTTGTTTTGTAGGTTGTCATCATTCAGAAATATTACCGTCGTTGGTTAGCTAAACGGTATGTGAACACTCTGAAAGCAGAGAAAGCCAGGAGACTGGAATGGGAAAGAGCAGAAGAGTTGAGAAAAAAGAAAGAAAAAGAAGACAGAATTAAACGAGAATTTGAGAGAAGAATGAACCCTAATAGCAAGGAAGATTTTGACCTCTTGTTCCATGCTTTAGAAAGTGAGTAAGCTTAACTTTAAAGGTGTTATAGATACACTGTAGCTTGACCTATAGATAGTTGTGGTATTCATTGAGTGCTAATGTAAAGGTTTATAATTCAAGGAAAAAGTATTTAATCACTGGACAGCAAGAGGAGATCCTGTTTCATACAGACACAGCATGTTATAGTTGGATAATGCTGCTTTTCTGACACAATTTCCCTCATTGTACACTGCATGCATGGCCAGTTTTCATTTATTCTATACAGTGTAGAACAGGATGTATAACTCCATTTCATTTGACCAATCCGGTACAGAACAATACGACATAAGAATCCATTTCATTTCATTAGTCCAATAAGGCGCAGTAAGATATGAAAGTTATTTTATTTCATTATGGGAATAATAGCAGTAGTTTGTGATACTGTATTTGTTTTTCCTCTAGAATGGAGAAAGGTTAAAAAATACTCCAATAAGGTACTCTAAAACTCTATTTGTTTTTCGTATAGAATGGAGAAAGGAAGAAATAGAGCGTATAGAACTGAGTTTAACTGGAGCTGAGAAGAAGGCAGCACTATGTATGTTATTAGATCAGGAAACTCAACTACTAGCTGCTATAGATAGACATAAACTAGAAGCTGATAAATCTAATAAAACTAAACGAATTCAAGATTTCTTGGCTAAGGTACATTCCATTTTCTGTTTGCTTTAAAATTCAGGGTCCTGAACAGAAAGTTAGATCAAGTTGTTGAATTGTTTCAGGTGTTCAAGAAGATTGAGCATGTCTTGCATCCTTTATGATATCTGAGAAAAAGTAATTATAGTGGAGCTCAAATTCGATAAACTTGAACTTGAACCTTATAGGTAGAATAATGCTGTTTAGGATAGTCTTGTCCACCAGCAGATTTATCAGAATAGCTACAACTATTTTTTTTACAAGGATAACAACTTAGGTTCTTGAAGATCCTATCTACCAGCTGGTCCTCGGCCAAACCTCTTGACATTGATTTCACAAGGATAACAACTTTGGTTCACGAAGATCCTTTTTACCAGCTGGTCCTTGGCCGAACCTCTTGGCATCACAATTTTTTGAAATAATATTAAAGTTCATTCAAATTTTTGTATATGAAATTATTTTAAATTTGTAGGCAGCCGCACCTAAGAAATGGAAAGCGCGAGATGGAAAGTATGTTGAGATGGATACACCATATACCATCAGAGCCAAGGAATTACAGGATATTTATAATAGCATTAATATGAAATACTTAACACAAGATGAGAGACTGGATGTTCTATTAACATTAAAACATACAGTCAAGGTTAGACCAGCCTTTTGCTTTTTACTTTCACTTTATTAAGAAAATATACGTTGTAAAAGATAATGTTTCCATATTCCTAGGTGATTGATGGAAGGGTTTGTATGTTTGCCAGCAACAACTTAACGAAAGTATGGGTTGAGACAATATCAGATGTCCTCTGTCTATCCTAACAATTGTTAATGCAGTTTGAATAAGCGTCTAGTCGTCCAGATAGGACAATGTGTGCTACAGTCTGTGCACATTAAAGATCCCTCTACAATGCTACTGTCCTGCCCTTACACAATTTCTATCCTTGCATTATGTCCCACATTGCCCATTAATCAATATATATTTTATGACTATTGTAGGAACATGATTGTAAACTAACTCAAGAAATAATCGAGCTGATAGATCGTGAAGCTGATTTATTAATGAGAGGTGTTAAAGAAGATAATCTGGATGGATTAAGGAAAAGAATATCTACATTAGTTTTACAATATATTAAAACACCAACCTTCAACCCAGAGTCTGCCAAATTACTTAAGGTGCGTTATTTAGTTTTCATCAAACAGGTCACTTTGTTATTTGAGTATCAGTTGTAATATGTTATAGAGGTGATTGTTTTTGTCAATCTAGAGGTAGCCTGATGCAAATATATTTTTGCAATTCTACGTGCTACTTGCACTATCTATGAATGATATGGAATGTTTGTCTATGTTTTGAATATGCTTCAAGTTTTTATCCTTGGAGAATTTACACCTAAGAAGAAAAATACTCAGTCATAAACTGTTCCAAGAAACACACCTGCTTATCTATTGCTCTGTGACCTAGGCCAGTGTTTTCATTGAGACTCATGTCAATACATCTTAATACCAAACAAATATGAGCAAATATCCATCTTGCAGCACTGAAAATCTTAATGTTCAAAGTGTTATTGCTCAATGTATTTAAGTCTATATTGATGTATTTTATTTATCCTTCATTTTTTCAGATTCCACAAGATCCATCCGTATTACGTAAAAATATCTACTTCTGTCCCAGTTGTAATAGTTATCTCCCCTCAACGGAGTTCCCGCTTTCTTCCAACTCTACTAATGTTGGTAAATGTAGACGATGTGCCAAGATTGATAACGACGCTAGGATACGTCAAGATTTCAGTCACTATAGATACATGTTAAAATCGTTACGTCGATCAGAAGAGGGTTATAATGATGGCAGTGAAATTGCTTTCTTACTACAGGTAACTTACCGTTTACATAATACTTTAAATCAATCTGATAAAAATTTAGATTTACATGTTTTGTTTCATATACATTGTTTTTTATGTCGTTTACTACACTCAACATTCATGATCTTCCCAAATTTTTCTTTAAATTGTGTTCTCTGGAATTTCGACCATTAAAAATAGTAATAATTTATGCCACTAATCAACAACATCTAAAATATAACCAAAATGCAGATTGATTCAGATATTCTTTAATGAATTAATGTTTTACACGAGGATATCTTACTTGATTCCAGAGAAATTATTTTTTGATAAAGTTGATCTTAATTGTGATTCTATCCATTTTTATTACATTCTAAATATAGTACAAAAGAAACTATTATTGTAGGTTACCTCCCATTAACATATATTTGAACTTTTTCTATCAAGTAAATTCTGCACTTTGCAACTTTTGAATTTTTGAGGTCAATTTGATATTATGTTTTCAGGAGGCTGATTTACGGTACCTAGTTGAAAATATCTGGAATGGTCAGAGCGTGCTCAGTGCCTGGGAAGATTTGTACGATCTAGTAATGGTACGCTGGAATAAACATGAAGAATGGTCACCATGGAATTGTATTTTCTTAACCAAAGACGAGGCGTCTGCTCACGATAAATTGTCTGCTCTAGAAGAGGTAATGTTTATTTTGATTATGTAAAGTTGAATAATTAAATTACGATTCCGTTTAGACAAGTTGTATTAGATAAATATTTAAACACGTATTCGAGTTGATTTAATTATAAGAAATGACCTGAACATTTTTCAGTTTATCGATGTATAAACAGAAAAAACCTGTGTACACTGTATAAATCCGTGTAAGGCACCGGCATGTAGGCATAACCCCAGTAAAAGGGTATTGTTTGTGCAGTTAAACAGTTTAATATATAAAAAGAAACATTCGGGTTATTATCATGTGACCAAGAAGGCTTTTGATCCTGTTGTTTATTTTACATCATTTAATAATATCTGTCAACTCAATAACATTTTCTATTTTCCAGGGATATGGTCAAGTCTTCATCCACAAGATTAAACAGAAACATACCTTGGCTAGAAATTATTTCTCACGTCTGCCGGGCATGGCTGAGATTATCCGTCAACGTGCTGGTCAGAGAGACCTGGGATCTCGTGGACCCTCTGTAGCCGGTACCTCCGTTTCCAGAAGAGTTCCTCAAAAAGTTTAACTTTCAATGTCTTCTTCTGTTTTATTTTTTAACCTGTATGTACAATAACATATAGTCCAGTTATCTTAAACTTATCAGCTATGTGTAAACTTTTTCAAAAGGAAAATCAGACTCTAAGTTTGTAGCTGAAACTTAAGGAATATATAGTGATGTCTTTTGCATTTGCTCTGATGAGAACAGTATTTAGGTTTGTTCTGACAGAATGACAAAAGTTAGAGTTTAGAGGACTATATCCTTTGAACACTATTCCGATGAAGTTAGCTCAGAAGCTATTCTGCCTGAACAGAACTGAAGTTTTTACCAAGAGAAGATAAGAAACTTTTATATTGTAAATGTACATGATTTTTAATATATAGTATAATTGTATATAAGGTGGTATTTATTTGTGGAGAGTATATTATTATTTTAATTAAGAATGTGGGCGGGGCTAGGAAAGGGGGAAAGGGGTGCAGAAGATTACAAGACAACAGATTATTTTAATGTATTCTGAGTAAATGATCTCACTATTGAAGTTGTACTTTTAATAAATAAATTTTAGGACCATCAAAACATCAGCTGGATTTGAATAAAACTAAGTCTGTAGACCAATTAGATGACTAGAACACCGGAATAACTTGAAGGTTTAATGAATTTTTTGGCCTGAGATATGATGATATAATATAATATTGTAATAAAACTGTAACTTGTAATAAATGTATTTTTGTTGAATAATCTGTGATATTATAAAATATTAATTCATATTTCTTCCTGTTCTTATTCTTACTCTCCTTAATATTAGAGTATACACTGATTGCTAGGTACATGTTTGCTTGTATATAGATCATGGCTGGAGTTTCCACGGGGTGGTATTTTTGATATTTTTGTGGTGTAATGAGACACTGTGTAGTCTTGCCTCAAACTTTTGGACAATTTGTAATTCTATTTAGTCAGGCTATTTTCCGATATATAAATATTGTAAGGGAAAACCTAAGAATAAAATCACCAAATAGTAATGATAGTAATAAAGGGGAGTAATGCAGTTGATCAAACATCCTGAAAGGGTTATTGAAAGAATATGGTTGTAAAACCCCTGTTCCGTTTGAAAGATTGTGATATATTAAGAATCTGTGATAAGATATGAGCGGTGAACTAAAGCGATTTATAGTTAAGCTAATTAATAAATAAATTAAGAAATTTAATTACTGGCAAGATAAATAAATACATCATATTTTACAATTGCATGTGGACTAAAATTGTCAATATGGGTGAAATTGTATAGAAACCTCTAATTTGTACTTCTATATCTCTAATTTGTACTTCTATATCTCTCCAGAGGGATATTGAAATATTGTACCATTGTCTATTTATAGAAGTGAATTTATACTCTAGGTTATATTCTAGAGAGTGGTCCACTGTTGTTCTATTGTTTGTTTATAGAAACACCAGACATCACCTAACTCTGGGTTATATTCTAGAGAGTGGTCCACTGTTGTACTATTGTCTGTTTATAGAAACACCAGACATCACCTAACTCTGGGTTATATTCTAGAGAGTGGTCCACTGTTGTACTATTGTTTGTTTATAGAAACACCAGACATCACCTAACTCTGGGTTATATTCTAGAGAGTGGTCCACTGTTGTACTATTGTCTGTTTATAGAAACACCAGACATCACCTAACTCTGGGTTATATTCTAGAGAGTGGTCCACTGTTGTACTATTGTCTGTTTATAGAAACACCAGACATCAACTAACTCTGGGTTATATTCTAGAGAGTGGTCCACTGTTGTACTATTGTCTGTTTATAGAAACACCAGACATCACCTAACTCTGGGTTATATTCTAGAGAGTGGTCCACTGTTGTACTATTGTCTGTTTATAGAAACACCAGACATCACCTAACTCTGGGTTATATTCTAGAGAGTGGTCCACTGTTGTACTATTGTCTGTTTATAGAAACACCAGACATCAACTAACTCTGGGTTATATTCTAGGGTGTGGTTCACTGTTGTACTATTGCCTGTTTATAGAAACACCAGACATCACATAACTCTGGGTTATATTCTAGAAGGTGGTTCACTCTTGTACTATTGTCTGTTTATACCAGACATCACCTAACTCCAGGTTATATTCTAGAGGGTAGTCCACTGTTGTACTATTGCCTGTTTATAGAAACACCAGACATCACCTAACTCTGGGTTATATTCTAGAGAGTGGTCCACTGTTGTACTATAGTATGTTTATAGAAACACCAGACATCACTTTACTCTGGGTTAAATGCTAGAAAAATGATAGACGTTTTCGGTGGAAAAATAACAAGTGTAATTCAGATCTTGTTGGCTACATTTCGACGGAAGATTGCTGTGTAAACAGATATTGCAATTGGCGCGTTTCCATTGAGTCCAAACTCACCCGGGTGGCTTCGTCAATGGATAGTATTTTCCGAATTAAGTCCAAAGTTCCATCAAAGGACACACTATTATCCGCTTTATATTTTATCACCGATATTACACTAGGATACTGTACCAATGGAGGATAATTTTTCAAATCTTCCTGTTCTCCGAAACACACAATATAGGGTACGATATTCGGATTTTGACAAAGTTTCTCGATAACTTTAACACAGATTTGGTCTGCTAGACTTTCATGGAATGTATCCGGGTTTGTGAAGGCTGTTGTCAATGTTTTTGACGCATATATTAAGACATCAAGATCGGTGTTTTCAGATAAAGATTTAATTTTTGTGTTTATCCATTCTGCAATATTTCCGTGTATCTCTTTGACATTTATCATGTCTAGACTTATATTCGGCTGGTTTCTTAGAATGTCCAAATGGGCCTCCACCATTCCAGTCGAATCATGAAGATACAAGGGTGTGATTGTGACTGAAAATGATGAAATGAATAAAAAAGTACTGTATTAAAAAATCAAAAGAATAAAAGCGATAGAAAGACATATATAGATAGACCCCAATCTCATTTCTTAGAAAATCCAAAAAATTGATTTATATACGTTTTAGCCCCAAAATATGTGTCGACAGGCACCAAATTAAGTCTATTTTCAAAAACGATCTCGAAGGAGAAACCTTTCAGACGTTTCATGCACCTTCGCAATTCCTCAAAATTCCTAATTTTGAACCTCAACTTTGACAATTGTGCCACCTCCACATTGAGTCAGTTTGCCCGTATATGTATCCCAAGTTTATGGAGGCTGGCGCCGGTATTGTCCCCAAACACACTCAACATTCTTCTATTCAATTTGCCTTTAATTCATACCTGGCCCTCTTGATTCCCGTATGGTACTAGGAATATCGGGATAATCGACGTCTCCCAGATTGTAAACAAATTGTTTTTCTTTCTTCTTTCGCTCTGAAATATATATTTATCTTAAACTATAATGACCTGAAAGTTACATATGCTATGTTTTTTATGACAGTATTTTGCGACCAAATTACGCTCTAAAAAATAAAACAAGTTAGACTCACTGTAAATCAGAATGCCAATCAGGGTCAGAACGATCAAGGCGGCTAAACAACATAAAATGACAACGACAGCTATGTTGATCGGCTGGGATAATTCTGATGCATCACCAGGCGTTTTCTCTGTTACATTTTGAACAGGACTTTCAACTGAAAATGAAGGACATTCTCTAAGTTATACGTTGAAGCCTTCATAGAAGGATGTATTTTGAGAATGTTGGATATTGGACCATATCATTCAAACGACCAGATGTGAAGATTTCTCTATTACCAAACCAACAGTACGAAACCAGCCAATTTATTGATCACTATCCTACTACCAACTAACACGACTTATAACAGCAAAACATAGAATGCAATATCAATTAGCTGGAAGCGGCTGTTAATGTGTCATCTATCAACCAGTGGCGGCACAAGGCTCCCGAGTTCAGCCTGATTAAATGGAGGTTGAATTCAAAATGCACTTTGTAGAATCGCAAGTCTCTCTGGAGCGTCTGAGATAATTATCTTAAGAAAGTATTTGAAAATCGAATTAATTTGGTGTAATTGGACAAACGTTTTAGGGCAAAACATATAGAAATCATATTTCAAATTTGTTAAAAATAAGGAGGGAATAACCAAGTTTCGTCAGGATCGGACTATAAATTCATCCTTTATAGTGATCACACAGAGCAGCGGAGAGAGGTAACGACAATCTACATAATAATAATAAGCATCTAAAATATTAAAATTAAAGACAGACGGGGGGATGTTGGTAATGGAATCTATAAATCTAAGCAAATTGTGGACGGACTGACGGACAATGGGACATTAAACAATATGTACATTATCTAAATTGACTTAGATAGGCGAGTATGATATTTATACATGTACTGCAAGGCAAAAGATACGTCATGTGAACCATTATAATAGTAATATGGTGATGCTTACCTGGTATATCAATGGTTGTTAACTCCGTATCAAACGGAGGTAGAAAGATATAAGAAGATGCTGGTATAAACTTATATAAAGGTTTAGTATAATTATCATATGGTCTGACCATTATTCGATACGTTTTGTTGTTAGGGATCTCTATAAATTTACTGGCCAACGGCTGGAATAAAAAGTTACATATGGGAACTCAGGTCTAGATGAATGCCTGTGGGATGTCCAAAATAAATTTGTATGTATTTTTATATCTTGTGGGATTAGTGGGAACGTGAATTCTATTGAACAAAATCAGAAATACTTTGGTGATCATGAATTCAGGTGTATCTTGAACTTCTAAGGCCCGGCCGCACCACATACCCCATACTTCCCACCCTCATCTTGACACATGCAACCAGACTTTTTTAGAAAAAAACCTTACTTACCATTTTAACTTTGAATATTCTTTTGACACACATAAAATAATTGTCTGGAAACTGAGCACAGATGTGATGCCAGACAGCCCCTGGGTACGGTGGGTCAAAGTTTACCCTCAATCCACTGAGTTTGATGTCTGAGACGGTAATCGTTGGAGTCCATTTATATTCTTCTTCTTCCTCACCTGCAATTAAAGAAACACACTTCTTAATAATTCGGTATGCCCGACCCCGTCCCCCGATTATAAACCGAATACTACCTCTTAGAATAGACTGGGTCAATATTTCATTCATTAGTTGGACTTACCAGATACCATGATTAAAGAATAAAATCTCCATATAACACGATAGACCTATTAAACTAAAGTAATTATTGAAACACGATTTTAAGCGCGAGAACCGCCTTGATAATGATAATTTTGTGTACCCTACTTGCCCCCTCACCAAATCATTCATAAACACGCTATTGAAATAAACATCATATAAAATGGTGTGAAGAACGCGACTAGATTATAAAATGATACAAGATTATTAAAAGATAAAAGATTATAAAAAGGTACAGGATTATGGTATGATACATGCATTATAAAAAGATACAGAATTATAAAAAGATACAAGGTTATAAATGATACAAGATTATAAAAAGATACAAGATTATAAAAAGATACAAGATTATAAAAAGATACAAGATTATAAAAAGATACATGCATTATAAAAAGATACAGAATTATAAAAAGATACAAGGTTATAAATGATACAAGATTATAAAAAGATACAAGATTATAAAAAAATACAAGATTATAAAAAGATACATACATTATAAAATGATACATGCATTATAACATGATACATGATTATAAAAAGATACATACATTATAAAATGATACATGCATAATAAAATGATACAGAATTATAAAAAGATAAAAGGATATAAAATGATACATACATTATAACATGATACATGATTATGAAATGATACATGTATTTTAAGATGAGAAATAAGTAAATATTTACCAATAATGTTATAAGACATGTTGTAGAAAGTGAAAGTACAAGCGGCTCTGATCAAGTCAGTCACAACTCGGTTCAACAAGCCAATATATGTTAATATCCATTCAATAGAATTGTACAACAATAGAATTTCTTTGAGAGTATAAAGCCTACATAACACAGTTACACTTAGTGTCTTTTATATGTTTGTATGTGCACATACGGGCACTGTTGCAGGGGTCGAAACTGCAACAGTGCCCAAATGGGTATATTTTGCTCGATATCGATATCAAATCCGATATAGTGGGCTACTAAAGAATTCTGAGCCCAGTTCACCCAGGCGAGCATGGATAAAACATGGCACCATTTCTTACAACATCCTAGACAGTTATATATATATATATATAACTCCCCCTCCCCCGCCACCCCGTCACTGGCATGATCAATTGTTTTTGGGTCCGGTAAGGTGCTTTGAATCTCCCTTCTCACACTAACCCTGGGGAGCAAAACAAAGCCCAGCATTTAAGGTGGTATGATAGTACCAGAAAAATCCAACCTTGAGTTGGTTAATGTTCATAAATATGTTTTTGTTTGGTGTAAACGTACTTTACAATTTGTTACCTTTCCTTAATTATGTAATCTATTAACAATAAAAATCACTATCATTCCCCGATCGATCAAAACAAAGTTTTCCCTAATTCCCTATAAATAAAAATATTAATCAAAAAATAATCTGGAACCATTGTCCTTGATCAAACCAGAGGAAAACATAAAATCGTATCAAAATCGCACCCGAGAGGAAATTAGCGTATCCATCAAGCTAGCAGATTGTGAAACAGTAGCAATGAGTCAATGAGCCACCATTGATCTAAACTACCGTGTCAAACTAGATCTTAGCTACCGTGTCCAACTAGCTAACAGATTGTGACACGATAACAATGATCCACCATTAGTCTCAACTACTGCGCCAAACTAGATAACAGATTGTGACACAGTGGCAATAAGGCACCATTGATCTAAACTACCGTGTCCAACTAGATCTTAGCTACCGTGTCCAACTAGCTAACAGATTGTGACACGATAACAATGATCCACCATTAGTCTCAACTACTGCGCCAAACTAGATAACAGATTGTGACACAGTGGCAATGAGGCACCATTGATCTAAACTACCGTGTCCAACTAGTTAGCAAATTGTGACACGATAGAAATGAACTACCTTTGATCTAACCGTGTCAAACTAGATAATAGATTATAAGACAATAGCAGTAAACCACAATTGATCAAAACTACCACGCCCAACTATGTAACATTTGTGATACGTTGGCAATGAGCCACCTCTGATCTTAACTATCGTGTCCAACGAGCTAGATGATTGGAAGATAATAACAATGAGCCACCATTGATCTTAACTATCACGCTCAACAAGCTAGCAGATTGTGACACGATAGCAGTGAACCATCAATAATTTAAAATACCGCTTCCGACTAGGTAATACATTGAGGCAAGGTAGCAGTCAGTCACCATTGATCACAAATGCTAAAAATATCTTACATGGATACTGAAAGTTACAAAGATCTGTCCGGGGTATATCGGCAGGTTTCTGTGGTCAGAATGTAGAGGAAATGAAGCAAAAGGTAATCAATCAATCAATCAATCATTGCATAGTGATCAATATCAATTTATTGCAATTCACAAGTGGTAATCTGAGATTACTAGTATGTACATAACCCTTATTTTAAACTAACTTCACAAACATTGCTCTATCACTAGAGGTTACGCCTGCATGCCTATGCCTGTGCTTTCGTACCGCAATGTTACAACCTAAAATTCCTAATAGATATAGGGATTGTATAGAGGTTTTATAACCGTTTTATGTGTATCGGGGACACTGATAGCATCGAATTGTTCCATTCCAATTTTCAAACAAATGTCTGTGGTTCCTGCAATTCCACAAACATGTAGTTTATGACGTCACAAATCGCAAATATGCATGCATCTCATAAGACCCTTAACTATAATGACGTCATAAAACGCTTATTTTTAGGGAAATTGCTGGAACCACAGACGTCTGATTGAAAATTGGATGCCATGTCACGTCATGTTAAAAGGAGTTATTTGAAAAACATTTTAAAAACGGAGAACTGAATGTGGAGCAGGTTTAGAATAGTCCCCGTCTATGAACTAATAAATTATTATGTTATTATTCTTCTATATAGCAATATTTACCACATACTTGATTTGGGATTTACCGGTGCATTATTATGAGATCAAAGGCTATGTTTACTATAATATAGATTTTCTAAGAAATAATAAATGATATCAGCCTACAATACAACATGTTTCAAAGGTATTTTATTTGTATCCGAGTAAAGTTTACGGTTGATTGGGTCTTGTCTTATCTTTATAACATTGCACAATTTTTCTCTTTGTTCTGGATTTAAGAAGTCATAAAAGCCACGATAATGGCCTGAAAAACATCGATTGAAATTTAGAATACATGAAATTATTTACATGTATAGACATTCCGAAACACACGAAAACAGAAATCATGGAGTCTTTTTTTACAAACAGAATATCATACACAAGTCTCGTCCACATACGTTGAATTAGGAACAGATAGGACATAACAAATTTCAAATGATTGTGTTCATATAGAACAAAATAGAACGTAAAACTCAATTCATTTTATTCAACAAATAAGCTGAGAAGAATGCACGTGTCTCTCCTTATGGAAGCCGGCTGCGGCCATATCTACTGTCGATTTCTCACCCATGATAAAGCGAGAAAGCTTATTCGTCGTGCCTCGACCTCTCCTCGAGGGTAATATGACCGCAGCCGGCTTCCATACTCCTCTAACCATTTCTACGAAAGTAGGTTTGATAACTGGTTTGCATATGATTGTGGATAACTTGACCACTAAGTAATCAGGCAATTCCACTTGTACAAACGAAGACGGAGAACACCTTGCTGTGCGCAATAAAGGGAATTCATAAAATGTAATCATGTACTGTCCATACTCCGCGTTCTCGACAAGTCTGGGCACATACTGTCAAATATACTATATCGAGTTTATGACATGAAATGAAGTTTTGTGTCCTACAGCTGTATTGAATGGCTTAATGCAGATTGACATCGCATTACAGTGCGCAATTACGGAAATTAGATATAAGGGGAACCTGTATTATTCCTAAACAACCGAGTCTCGTCATAGTAGACACAAACAAGTCGACTGCAGTGAGAAAATGAAATAAATGAAAGAAAGTTTTACGTCCTACTGCTGTGCCTGAATGATCTAATAAAGACCGACACGACCCTTCGGTGCGCAATAACGGAAATTGAGTAAAAAGTGTACTTGTATTATTCCCAAACAACCGAAGAAACATAGTAGACACATACATATCTACTATAGAAAACAAATGTGAGCCCGCACATCATATCAGGTATTAAGTTACACTGCCCAGTAATGAGCTGGCAGTGAAGTATTAAAAGGGGACTCAAATCTTTATATTAAATTGACTATATTATCTTCTGAACGGAGACAGCTATTGAGATGGTATTGGTATTAAAATGTAGCTGATGATGCCAGAAATCCAAATATACTGATAGCTCTACATACACCAAATGCTACTTAATACCTGGTTTGATGTGCAGGGTCACAAGTGGCATTGTTTATCTTCATATTTCTGCAGGTCATCACCATGATCAATGAAGGAAAAAAATCAAATATATTACCTGTAATGTTCATTATGGTGTTATTCTGCTCACTCTTCCTTGCTAATATCATATTATAACACTGGTGATAATAATTTATAGCCTTTAGTCTGGGTGCATTTTAACACTTATATTAGCTTCAAGACATTTCTTCAACATTTACTCAGAGCTAATATATTGTATTGTTATATAGCACAGACGAAATATTTATACAACATTTTTAAAAGTCCTTCAACATTTTATAACGCTAACAACTATATTGTTATATACTGCAGAGTTTTAAACAAATACTAATTCAACCGAGAACAATAATCTAGTCTGGTTATCTTTATAATCATTTTATTGTTAGTCTTAAAGGATTATTACCTCTTAGAATGGACATAATAAAATTTCAAGTATCGAACTTGAGAGAACTTAAGAGAACATATCGTGGGCCCAAAGTTGGAACTATTTCCAAAATCTCCATTTTGAGAAAAACGTGGTTTAAGATTTTATCGCTCTTATTAAATCAGAAAATCTAAAAACCAAAACGTTCAATGGTGTTTCTGCTTGCAATAGAGATTGTTTACATTCTCTTATCAGTTTTCTTAAAATAAATTGCTAGAAAGGAACCAAACTTGTTGAAAAAGGACACTGATATTGAAGCAGTATTTTTGTATTTGAGGGGTAAGCTCACAAACTCTTCTCACAAACACCAATCAAGTTGTGGGAAGATGATCACATCCTCCAATTACAAAAAAACTGCTTCAATATCTGTGAATTTGCAGGATGTCTCGGTTAGAGTATGTCCATCATTGCATCAAAAATAGTGCCAGAATGGTTATGTCCTTTTTCGACAAGTTTGACCCCTTGCTAGCATTTTATCTTTGGAAATGCCAATAAGAGAATGTAAACAATCAGACACACCATTGAACTTTTCTGATTTTAGGCCTATAGGAGCGATAAAATCATCAATCTTCTTGTTCTGAAAATGGCGATTTTGGACATCAAGAAAACCAGAAATGTCTATTTCCTCGACAAAGTCAATTCTGGATGCAACTTTACATTCACAGATGGAAGTATTGTAAATTTTAAGGCACTGATTGGCTACTTGACACATTGTGAAGACCTAGACAAT